GACAAAATAAGTTAAAGATTCACATGCAAATCCAACTAAATGAATTCTGTCTCTTTGATCTTTACTAAATTATTTCTTTCGAAGAATAAAATTAAGTAAACTTGATTAAACAAAGATCAAAATATAACTTAAAGAAACTTTATTGAATGAAATCAGCTAATACTGTTTGCTTTGTATAGAAAAGTAATGAAAAACAGCATACAACAAGTCTTTAATAAAACAAGAGAAAGATTTAAGTAATCAAAATTAAGCCTCAGGAGGGCGTCACACCTCGAGGAACTTCTTGATGTTCTTTGCACAAACAATAATAAGTGACTCTCGTCAACTTATTTCTAAGTACTACTTTCACACTTTTCTAATACTAATTTTCCTTCTCTCTTTTCTGAGTTTTTCTGAGTGATTTCTGAATGATTTCTCCTTCATTTGTTTTCAATTTATAGAAGAGGAGGATGATGTTGGTTATGATGGTGATTGGTTGGCCAAAAGGTGCTTCAAATGACTTCTATTGCGAAAAGTTTCGACCTGTTCATGGGAGGACATGATTTTCTGGTGAAAAGGTAGCATTTGACATCTCCTGGAAACACGACTCGCACTTATGAGTTTAAGAGTCACGCTCGCGATTATTGTTTATAATCTCTCTGCGTCTTCTGGAGTGCTTCTCGCGCTCGTACATTTATTGTCGCGCTCACGAATTCTGTTTGATGTCTTCTGAACCTTCTATCACATAGATCGTGCGCGAGCATTGTAGATTCACGCTCGCGAATCTTCATTTTTTTTTTCACAAATTTTGTTGGGCAAGACTTCTCTTTTCCATACTTAGTCAAATTTTTATCCTTTTCTTCATAAAAGCAAGCCTTTCCAATCCTTTACTCAAATGCATTCCGAAAACAACTTTAAACCAAAAACAACATAAGAAAACGTAAATTGTATAAAAACAAACACACAATCATGCAAATCATGCGATTATAACTAAATAAATTCGCCCGCTTTGCGAGGCTATCAAGACTTGAAAAAAAATTCATATCTTTAGTTATAAGATTTAAATCTGTAGCATAGAAAGATGCCTTTATCACCAAATATGGCATCCATCGTCTTATGAGTCCCATATATGTATGGCACAACCCAAGAGGGGGGGGATGAATTGATATGTATGGCACAACCCAAGAGGGGGGGGATGAATTGGATTTTCTAAAAAGAAAAATATAACTTTCAAAAACAAAATCAGAATTCTGTTGCAACGAAAATAGAATGCGTTTGTGAGAGTAAGTGATCAAGATTATAACTTTCTCACAAAGCTTAATGCAAAAAATTAGAAAGGCTTTGTAAAGAGCAGCTATTGATTAGAACTACTTCACAATATCTTAATCAATTTCAAAAACACTTTATGAAAGAAAGTTATTATGTTTTGAACTACTTCATAAAGTTTAGACAAATATTAAAGAAACTATGAAAGACAGTTATTGAATTATAGAACTGTTTCACAAAGCTTTAAGCAAACTTAGAAAACTAGTTAAAACTCAAATTGTGATAAAAACTGAATATAGAAGAACAAATTAATATAGAAGAACAAATTAGAACTTGGTATAATCACAATGCAGAAATCCAGAGTTCTAATGTTCAATAAAGATAAAGCTTATTCGAGTTTAGAACAATAAAACCATAACAACTTTGCATTTCTAAAAGATTAACAGAAGTGTAAGTAAAATGGAATCAAGCAGAACTTCAGAAAATAAAATGATAAACACAGCGATTTATAGTGGTTTGGCACTAACTTGCCTACATCCACTTCTCAAGACTCATCTTGAGATCCTCTACTATGTTATCTCTTTTCAAGGGTAAAAGACAAACCAATAGTACAAGGCAATAGATCAACTACATCAATACTAGATCACCCTTTGTTCACTAGATTTTCCAAAGGCTTTTTATGCATGAGATACAGAAACTCAAACAAGACATTAGAATCTCACCACAAGAGAATGTCGCTAAACCAATTCACAATAGCTTTCACCTAAGCTATTTACACAAAAGTTTTCAAATAAAACCTATACAACAAATTACAGAATCTATATAGACAGAGGAGAAATGCAAATAAAAAACAGGAAAAAAAATTAAGTAAAATCATTAAAATATAGAATTATTTTCAAAGAATGATAACATTTTCTTTTCTTTTAAAAGACATGAAAAATAAAGATGAAAAGAAATAAATAAGGATATAAAGCTCAGTTTTAAGAGATTAAAACATTTGATTCCACAGACCTTACTCTTAAAAAAACACCTCAGCCAAAGGATAAATACACCATTAGGGGAATTGAAGATTCCGTTTTAGAAAGTGTAATTCTTTAGCTTATTAAATAAGAATTTTTGACTTCCAAAAAAGGAGATACGGAGAATCTTTGCCAAAAATGTTTTGAGTCAAAAAATCTTTCGTTTTTAAGGTAAAACGAATTAAAAAACAAGATCTTTATTAAAATCTTTATAAAAATAGTTTCCGAAAATGAAAAGTATAAAAATCTTTTTCAAAAAATTTTGTTACCAAAAATGATTAAGACAAAATCTCTTTCATTTAGATAACTGAATTAAAGAACAAGATTTTTAATTTTCAAGGAAACTTTTGAAAACTATTTTTGAGAAAGAGAGAGAAGAAATATTTTTGTGCTTATAAATGAATATTTTCTATATCCTACAATAAATTTTAATATACTAACCACTAAGATCTTCAATGGCCTTCATGATCGTCAATTAATCTTGGATTTGTGGGATCTTGCCTTGTTTATTAATTTTCACATTTTAAAAAAATAAATCTGCATAAAATAATATTAGCACAGATAAAAAATATTAAATTTATTTTTTTTGCTTAATAATCAAAATTTCAAGATAAAATTGACATTTGAGCCAACACATCTAATCCTTTTAGGACTGGGCGATGGGTGTTACACCCTATAAACTCCTAGCAAGTTCTAAGATAAATAAGGAATTATATTTATGGAGAACATAGTGTCAAACTGTAACTGTGGGCTCAAAAGCCTTAATTGTAACTGTATGGCTCGTCAGTTGGAAATTATATCCATATGGTCGCAGTACTATTAAACTGTGTATGTAGCATGCCATACCCTTATACTACCCAGACACCCACCGGGTTTACTAGGCTAAGCACATGTTTTAAGTATTCATTTCACATATTCTTATTTTTGAAACCTTATCGAATGTTTCATGAGAATAGTTCTTCTCTCTGTATTTTTTTATTTTTGGTATCATATTACATGTCTCATAAAAGAGTTCAGTTTTCACATTCTTCTCTTTAGAATCATATCTCATATTTCATAAAAGGGTTCATATATTTATTTACACAGAATAAGCACGTTTGGTCATAAAGTTATAAAAGCTCATACAAATGTCTCTTTTTCCACTTTAACTTAATCATATTCATGCATAAAGATTTGAAAATTCAGTCCTATGAGATTCACCAAAGGTAAACATTTAAATTTTATAGCAAATTACCTTAGGTCATAAACTTTATAACCACATAAGAGACTCTTAAAAATTTAACCAACAGTGTAACTTAACAATATTCATTTTGCCATAACTAATTCATTTAATGTAATCATTCATCTTCATTAAATTGATTTCCAGTTTGGCTCCACCCATAAATTGATTGTTCCTAGTGGAATTCAACATCTGATTTCTCCACTATGAAATTGTTTTCAGTCCAGTTTAGATCTCAGTCTTTTGTAACACCATGGCTAGTTCTTCTCATTTTTCTACTCTTAGAATTTCTCAGAAGAAGACGGATCCTCCAAGAGTAATCTTGAATGACCTTCAACAAGTTGAAGAATATGCTATGGACCATGTTTCTTTCTATCCCGTCCAAGTTCTTCGACTTAGGGGAATAAATTAATGACCTCCCTTCTTTCTCAAAGACTGTCCTTTTATGGTCACCTTTCTAGAATTCTCCAAATTAAGGTTTAGAGAAATAAGAACTTTAGTTTCTATAGTCTTGCTACCCTCCATTATATTTCAATGGAGTTCCCTACAGTTGAGCTGCTTTCATTCCTTACTGATCCAGAAAATCATGTCTCTCGTTTGGACTCTCCTGGAGTCATATTTTCTGCTCTCGCGGTGCAGAGACCAACTATCAAGGATAATAGAGAGGAAGGCCTGCTGATCAACCTCAATATCAATCAGCGTGTTACCACTGTTTATAAAATAATAGAAAACTATATATAGAAAATTAAATTACAAGTATAAAAATGTGTTTAAAAAATTAATACTTATAAATAGATATTGATTTATCAATCGTACACAAAAACTAATACTTATAAATAGGCATTGATTTATCAATCATTCACAGGCACCGCTACAGATCAATACTAATAAATACCAATCGATCACTAGCACCACTGATTGCCACCACAATTTATTACTTTCTGTACCACAATATAAATTGTTTTTGAATGATTGTTTTATTCCAAAATATAGATCGTTTTGAATATTTTAATGTATCATAAATAATATTTTTTTAATATTATCCTTATTATTAGATACAATAAATATTTTTACAAATAATTATTAATTTTGATTGTTTTATTATGATATAAGAAAACTAATTACTTTTTTAATCCTTGTACAAAAACCTTACACGGGAAGTAATTTTACATGTTTTTTCATATTTAATAATGATCCTTAAAATACAAATTTAAATTCAAAAATAATTTTATAATTTTATAATCTTATAAATTAAAATTATATTTCAACTAACTTCTAATATTATAAACAATGGAGTAATAAATTATTTGAAAAATATTTTTAAGGTTTAAAAAAAAAACAGCTATTTTCGAAAACAAAAGTAGCATAAGATTTGCAGTTCTTAGCAACCGCTGGTAGGTGGAGCTCTAATGTATGACGTCGTGTAATTCAATAGAATAATTTATGTAGAAAAGATTAAAGACAGAAAAATCTCCTCAAAGTTCAGGTTAATTGACATTTGACAACGTAAACAAAACTTTGCGCGAAAAATTGCTTTTAATGCTCTCTTTTCGTCAAACTCTTTGAATAGATAACTTATAGTTACAAAAAGCCCTAAACTAATGTTAGACAATATTTTTTTTCAACTGTATTTGATGTGATGAAAAGATTACATATATACATCGTAATTCATAAAAGGCCAGCTACACCAAAAAGATTAGAAAGAGGGGGATTGGAGATTGCCAAACAAAACCCGGCGGAAGTTAGGTGGGTGTAGGTGTTGGTGGTGGTGGTAGTAAACAAAGATGATGACTGACCGGAAATGAAAAGCAGAAAAAGGATACTCCAGCATCTCAGACAAGCTAGTGACTTCTTATTATCCTGCACTTTCAAGATGGAGAAATTAATGGATGAACATCAAAATAATGCCCTCGGTTGAGAGATATCATGCATTTTATATGCCTGTATACAAGAAGATCAAATAAAGGAAGCAATATCTTGCCTTCCCAGTCGAGAGAGCTCAGGCTCTTCCAATAGCATATCTTGTAGCGATCTCATATTCATTTGACTTTCCTCGCAGCTACATGGAAAAAGCAACCACTGTTTGAGCACATTACAACAACCCTACATGCGTAACTCATGCATGTATATTATTACAGATTACCATCACAAACGCAGTTCGCTTTAACACAGTATGAAACAATGAAACACAATAGCATCTACACTGCTAAAAGAGAAGTAGAAACTCCTACAATCCAAATTTCACTTTATATTGTACTATGAGCATCCACCACAAAATCCCAAGCAACCTTTTAAAGTACCTTGTTTTCCGAAAGTTTAAGCCATCAACTTAAGAATTTAACTGATTCAATCCTCATTCTTTTATTGCATGCAATCGGATAGCTGAATTTTAGATTTTATTTTCAACAGTCCCTTTTGAAATTGATTAGCAACTAGAAAACGAAAAATTTCTCAATGCCAAACCAACAATTGATTGTATTTGTCATAAATTTGGAGTTGAGCTTTCTTCTTTCTCAGCTCTATGTTCTCAATGTAGAAAGTCTTGTTTCATATAAAGGTAGACAATTGACATTGACTTTACAAGATTCTCATGTCAAGTTTCTAGACATTAAGCAAACATGCAATTGATTAGAACAGATGGCACTTGTCAAGGATCTTATAATTGTACATAAAAATCGAGTCACGAATTAAACTAATAGGAACTGATGAAACCAAAAACCCTAACCACAATTGGCCGAGGTGACCTACAATACAAGGTGTTGAGAGAATATATTGTAATTGTATTTCTTGTATCTCATCAATCGATTACATAGGTCTATATATAAGGCATTTCTATGCTACCTAACTATTTAGGAATACAAATCATAAACTAAGCTTAACTAACCAAATACAAGTAAATGAAATATAAAGTAGAAAAACATCAATAAGACGATCTTATCACTGCTAAATATTAGAGAATGAGAAATAACTCCTACAATCAAAAAGATTGTCAGCTTTCAATATTTGTTTAAGGCATCCTAAGCAGTGCACACACAAACATCAATAATCTCCTCCAAGTTGGCAACCTTTTTATAAAGTACACACAATTTAGTTATTTCTCGAGTCAAAGTTTATCAGCCATCACTACAGAACAATATAAACCTGAATTTCAATCCGTCAATATCTATTTATAATGTCATTATGCAATCGAGGATTATGACTGAACATTATAATGAAGCTTTTTTTTATTTTTATACAACTAGAATCCCCTTGATTTGAAATATTGATAATCTTAAAATTGAAACAACTAGAAAAGAACTGAAACAAATTTCTCCAATGCCGAAAAAACCACTACAATTGATTGTTATTTGTGTTTATTTCAATAATTGGATTGGTAAGCTTTAATCTATCTTTCTACATCCTTCAATTTGTATATACTCATAATGAGTTAGTAAAAAGTCTTGTCATTATTTAGGAACTGGCGCAGATACAAATTTGACAATGTTCTGCGGATTTACAAGAAATTTCATGTCAAGTTGTCTAAGGCATTAAGCAAACATGCAATTGAATTAGAACAGAATGGACTGTCAAGGATCCTTATAATTGTACATAAAAATCGAGTCATCGAGATTAAGTACTGAGATAATTGAAGGTAACTGATATAGAAATACCATAAACCTCTCTCTAACTCCACAAATGGGTCCGCCAGGTTGACATAAACAAATTACAAGGTTGATATAGCAGAGCATAATAACTATGTGTAATTGTACTTCTTATGAGTTAATCTACTAATCATCAATCGATTACATAGGTCCTATATGTATAAGGCATTTCTATGCTACTAACTATTTAGGAATAACAAAATCATGAAACTAATTAGGATCTAACTCCCTAATAGTAAACTCTATATCCTTAACACTTCTCTCAGTTGGGAGCATTAGATGTTAATATGCTCACTTTGTTAAACAAACTACTCTTTCCAGCAAAAGCACAATACCATACTCAGCAACTGTACCCACCTTCATTATAGCAATATAGAATCCCAAACCAAAATAGTAGTAGCGAATAAAGACATACTTAGGTTGTCGAAACAAATCTCACTGAACCAGAAAACAACTCACAGGGCTGTTTCAAGCTTCCATAATCAATGCCCCAAAGAGGAAGCCCAGTAGCGCAGATATTCAGAAACGCAGCAAAGAAAAATCTGGCAAATGGAGCGCACCACTGAAGGCCAGGAACACAATGCAACTCATTGGGGTTGTACTGCTCTACTGCTCTCGACAAAGGAGAAGGTTCAAAGCAGAATACCCATAACTGTAGAGCAAAGGTGTAGTACCAAACCCTAATGCAATAAGGAATCACTAGAAAATGACCAAAAAATACCAAAAACAATTGTCACAACAAGGGAAAAGATAGGTTTCCTCAGCAAATTAAAGCAACAACAATAGCAGAAGACTGCCCGACACAGCTGCAACAGAGTTGCAGCAACCGGATTCTGGGGAGGCGCTGATCAGCGGCTGGAGAATATCCTGAGGTCGGTGGGGATTCTGGGGAGGCGCTGATCAGCGGCTGGAGAATATCCTGAGGTCGGTGGTGAGACAAAATACTAACCCTAGAAAGGCTTCCTAGGTGGCAATGGCTTCTAGCAAGGGAAGTTTCGGGAAATTTCTCTTTTTTTTTTTTTTTTTTTAATGGAAGGCTCTGATACCCTGTTGAGAGAATATATTGTAATTGTATTTTTTGTATCTCATCAATCGATTACATAGGTCTATATATAATGAATTCCTATGCTACCTAGCTATTTAGGAATACAAATCATAAACTAATTAGGAATCTAACTCCTAATAGAACTCTATTTACAACTAATCCTTAACACAAGGGAAAGCCAGAGTCATGGCCCCAATGGTTGTGTCCTGGTCAGGACCCTCCAACACCCATGTAAGAGGCTATTAGTGGATGAGGAGTGACCAAGAGAAGAATAAGAGTTAGAGATGGGAGACCGAAAGAATGAGCCCCCCCTTCTGATCTAGTTACAGAGAGAGGAATGCATATATTATCCTTCAATGTGAGCTAAATTTTTGTTTAAAAGGAAGGAAAAATAAAGAAAATTAAAAAGCAATGTTAGATGCTTTAAAGATTTGGAAGAAGAATTTGCAAATAGAGTGGGGCATTTGTACCGTAAGCAATGGAGAAAGGACCCACAAAGGGGAAAATTCCAAATTGATTAAACAATTGAAAATGTCTGAAGTGACATCATTAACCCATAGCACTTGGGGAGTAGGAAGTTATACAGTTAAGATGAACAATGCATAAGTTTATATGTGCGAATGGAGACAAGCGTGTATGTGAGTGAAATTACTGATCAACACTCTCAGATGAATATCACAATTTCTCTTGCTAGACCACACCCATATAATAATTTTTTTAAAAAAAGTTTGTGCACTTCCTCAAAAACTCATTTTAGTAGACCACCGTAAGAACCACCCAAAGATCAAAATTTGACACATTATCGCTTCCCCTTATTCTCTTTATTCCTTTCATTCCATTATTAGAAAATCGTCATCACATAGATTTTCAAATTACCTTATACAATCAGAAGCTGATTGTTTTTGTTTGTATATAATCACCACGAATAACTTGACAATTAAAAGAAAGAAAAGCAGGAGAAAAAAGAAGGTAAGTGCATACCTATAGATATAATCAAGGCAAAGAAGCCTGTGGTGAACAGTACAATCGGTGCCAACATAAGTCACGATTAAGCTACCTGCATCTGGGTGGGGCCAGCTCCTTGAAGTGGGAAACCTCAGAACAAAAGTTCCAGGATCTTGAAGGCCCCTAGGACCTTGTAGTGATAATTCCGCTTCTTCCTTAGTAATAAATCCTTCTATCCACTTTGGAGACATTGAACTCCACATGGTGTTTATCCAATCTCTTGATAGTGTAAAAGCAATGGGGTACAGCCAACACCACATCTTCTCAAAGTTTTCTTGGGCAATATACTCTCGGCATCCAGCAATTCTCCTTAGAATCTCAAAGTCCTGAAACAATGGATAAAATTAGGCCATACCTTTCAAAAGTTATTTCAGTATTCTTAAAGACAACTAATATTATGTTAAGAATCAAAGCCATTATTGCAAGTTAAACATTAAAAAATCAATAATCAAATACTTTTCATATTAAATTATTAAATTTTTTTAAAAAAAACATAAGTTTAAGAAAGTAATTTAAAATTATTTCTAATAAAATGTGTACTTTTTGCATGAATGGGTTGAAAATCACCTTTCTAAATTTCATAGAAGAAAGTGATGAATAAGGATTAGCAGTCCAAATACATAATTAAAGGTAATAAACTTTGAAATAAGTTGTTATATATAATGAACTGAGTAAACCTGAAAATAAGCTTAAATGAAAGCAGATTAGGAATGGAGTTATGCAAAAAACCGAAAATCCCATACACATTAGGAAAAAAGGTGCTCCACAACTCTCTCCTCTCCCCCAGCTTCCTCTCCTTTTTCTTTAGGTTTTAAAATGTCATGAAGAAAAGATATAAAAGTCACATTTCTTCCTAGGTATGCAGCATGTGCACCAAACCCCCCCCCCCCACCAAACCCCCCCCCCAACCACCCCTCTATTCTCTTTTCCCCTCCTTCGTTTCAAACCCCCCCCCCCCAACCACCCCTCTTTCTTTTCCCTCTCTCGCTTTCCGTTTCTCCCTTTATCTTCTTCGAAAACCAATCAGCCAATTCATGTATTCCAAACCCTGGCTGACTGAAATGCTACTATCACCTCATACAAAAAGTCGAAAAGAAAACAGAAGTCCTCCAAGAAGTCACATCATCTTAAATCAAACTAATCAACAATAATTTCAAAACTACAAGACATACCTATCTCTGGTAAGAATATTGGCTAGGAAATAGGACTTCTACGGAAAACCATTCACATGTCTGTGCCATTTCCATGCCATTAAGGATAAAATCAATATTACTAACAGCAGAATAAATCTATTGTAATTTGGGTAGTGGTGAATGATTAGATAAAAGATTAGAACCCATGAAGATAAAGTTGAGTAATTTGGGCTCACTTCGGATTAGGTCAACCAATACCAAAAGGTTAGTACTAACCAATTAGCTAGCTAACTTTCCACTCTTATATGCCATTTATGGCTTTGGTACTTGATTAATGTGGGATTCTTAAAACCCCCAAGTGAAACCGGGACTGGACATCTAGTTGACACTTGAAACTTGAAATCCTCCCCCTGAAATTGAACTTGAACAGGCTTTGCTGGAATTGGACATCCAAATGAAAGCCCATATTGAAACGCATCGACAATACCGGTGAACTGAGAAATGACTAAACTGGAAGGGAGCTACTCTGACACCATAATATAATTTGGGAAGAGGTGAATAATTGGGTAAGAGATGAAAACCCATGAAGATAAAGTTGAACAATTTGGATTTACTTGGGCTTGGGTCAATAAATGCTAAAAGGTGAGTACTAACCAATTAGCTAATTAGCTTTCCACTCTTATATATGCTCTTTATGGGTTTGGTACTTGATCTATATAAGATTCTTAACAATATCAAAAGAAAGAAATATTCCCAATCTTGTTTGAAACTTTCACGCCCATATTCTTACCTATAAGTTTCCACATACCCTAGCACCACACACATTACGATCCAAGACATTCAGTACCAATGACAAATCCTCAAGGATACTTGTTCTACCATAAGTCTGCACAATGCTTCCTGAAAGAAATTTATCAAACAGAAAAAGGAATCTAATCTCCAAGCCTCTCATATAAATAGGTTCGTTGACGACTCCCAATTTTTTGCAAAGAAAATATCAAATAAAAGAATGAATTTAACGACCAACTTATGATAAAAACTACCCCATATTTTCACAAAGAAATTTAATAGACACATCGTTTAAATCTTAACAAAGTGAGGAATGGAAAAATCTTTGCAACATAGTTTTTTCTTGCTTCAAGTTCATTTATGCAAAAACTTCCGTGTGATAGGTAATACACTCCTAGCCATTTTCAATTTAACTTCTAAGTTCCAAAGACTAATAAAAGACTTAGGAAGGGATCCTATCTTAATTCAATTTTAGCCCGCAGATCCCATAAAACGCAAGTATCTCTAAATGTAATGAAATGTCTTCAATCGTTTTGATAAATCTTAACACAACAATCAAGCAAAAGGATGCAATAGCATACCAGTAGTTATAGCAGTAAACCTCTCAAAGCATTCTATAAACAGTAACTTTATTCAGAAGCAGTAGTTTTGAGTGCTTCACATTAATTGATGAAGAAGATAATAGAGAGAAACCTGTTCTGTAAGTGATCTACTATTGCAGCAAGCAATCTTCAGGAATTGCTCTTCAATCTCAAAAACCACATTTTCCCAATGAACAGCATGGTTGTTTTGTGAGATTGAATTCCAAACTCTGGTCCCTTCTACTATCAATCCGGTCCCTTCTACCTGATCATCCCTTTGCAATCTTATTGATGCCTGAAGAGAAAGCATATTTTTACTAAAAGGATCAGGCATCCAAACTAAATCCCAAAAAGTTCATTGATGGAGGTGTATTGAATAGGCAAGAGAATTTGACTCACCTGGTTTTAAAATCCCTTCAGATGGGGAAACAGAAAGACTGGTTCATTGCTCTCTATGCAGTTAGAAGCAAAAAGCAAAGACAAAGGAAAAGAATATTGAAAATATCATTCACTTCCCCTTATGTAAATTTAATATGTTAAACCTTTTAAATAAGAAGATGTTGCACAACATATCAAAACTGTCATTGATACTAGCGATCTAGCTAGGTAAAGTTGAATTGCATTTTGCAAAATTAAAAAATAAAAGGAATGCAACACAATGCTAGATTCAGGGAATAAGCACTGACTCAGAATGTTTCAACACTCATAATCAAGAGGCCTTAGAAATTATAATTAAAATATGATCAAATTTGGAATGAAGTGAAGCCATGAAGGGGATAACCCCTGTGATGGGAACACCCTGGAATAATAGAGAAACCTCATTTGCAATTCCAAAAGATCTTCTGTCAGAGGCGGGCTGCAAACCTCCTTCAGCAGAAAGCCTATCAGTCCAACCTCCCAAGCATACTTAAAAGATAGTCAAGGTCCGAAATTGGATAGCCACCACCTGATGCAACTTTTGATATTTAAATGTTTTCTTCAGTACTTCTCTGAATCAGTTGCTGAAGTTGTCTACTTCTTCAGGGGTTTGTCCTGGATTTCATCCAACCTTGTCCTAAAGCATCCTCATCCTAAATCAAAAATTGTGAATTCAGCAAAAAATTGTGATTCAGCAAGATGCCGATCAAAACAACATTAGCAGTGATGAAAGTAAAGAAAAAGCTCCGACAACCAAAATTAGAGTTTCAAGCCAATGAGAACAAATATATTTTCTAACCTATGCAAAATATCATTGTGGTAATGAAGGTAAGATCTGTCCATACTGTATGTAACTGCCATTCTTTTCTTTCTTTTCCATACTGCATCATCCTAAATGATGCAATAGTCCAGTCTCCCTTTCTGACCTCGTTCGTAATGAAGAGAGGAAGAGAATATAAGAGATTTTCTATTTCTGTGTTTAATTGTAGTTTTCTATACACAAGCCTCTCTCTAAATAGGAAAGATATAGAAAAGGCAAGAACAACAAATCCTCCGAATTTGAATATACAGAACGTTCTAAGATTATATGAGTCAAAGGACCTAAATAGGTAGTATTATGATTTTAAGCATTCATTTGTGAATTGCAATCCCTAACCACAAATTAGGTGACAAAAAACAATCTGCTAGAATGATGTAGCAACCAGGGGAGAAATGAGTTAAAACGAAAAGAGCAACTTGAAAATAAAGAGATCCAATTGCTACTGGATATGAAAATACAGAAAGTTTTTAATAGCCTTTTCATAGAAAATACAAACAAAAAGCTTCAAACAATATGAGTGAAATCATTAGATATTCTTAAATCATAGTATAAACAAGATAACAAGTTTAAAAGTGTTCAATCAAGAGGATTAAACTAATATCTTATTGGGTAAGATTCAGCTCAAAAGATATTTTGCTATCGCATCCATTATGGTTATTTTGTACCCCACTTGAGGCACAATGACATAAATCACTATATGCCCTGCAAACATTTTAATAGCATTTTTATAAGTGGTAGACAGAACTTGAGACACATAATGAAACTTGTGAGAAATGTATTAAGCATACAACTATCAAGAGTTTGATATATAAGGTTCTTATGACATAACAAATATGCTTGACTGGTTGTTTTCATCTTAAAATGCATGCGAATTTGTTGAAATCTTTGTGATTAAAGTAAATATTGTGTTTCCTAGTTTAGGTTTATTCCTAATTAGTGTAATAATTCCTAATTAGTGGTAAAGATTGTGCTTCTCGGTTTAGGTTTATTCCTATTTAGATTACTCCTATATTGGAACAATTTTTTTGTATATATATAAGTGGGAGTAGAGGTTTGAAAAAATATAACACAATTGGGAAAAAAATAAACATATTATTTTCCTTTAATTTCTACAAATTTAATGGAAATACATGGCTTTTGTCATGGGGCCTGAGAGGAACATCACTTTGCATACTTGAAAAGGAGAACTGAACGAAGGTTGAAAAATTTCAAAGGCAGAAAAGCATATGTTCTTGAGGGAAGAAAATTCATGGAGTAAGGCAAAATATCAATAACCAAGCATAACTCATTCAGCTTTTAAATGAAAAGAGAAGGTTACTTGAATACTAAAAAAGATACAAGCGCATTATATTGGCTTCTGGATCATTTCATTTTGGATATTATGATAACCACAATACTGAGAAGGATAATACCTGAATTAGCAGTGGCAAGCATGAGAGTTGCATTCTTCATACTGGGGTTTGCTCCCCAGTGTATAATTATTTCCTTCCCCAGTTTTGAACATCCGCTTTTTTGATGATGGACTAGGTTTTTGTTTCATGGATAGGACTTTGCCTGAAATTCCCACTGATTCCATTATCTAATCCAATGCGGTTGAGGTCCATTGAGAGGATAACTGGCAGAAGTTGGGCTTTTTCCATTAGAGAGGATGTTCCGGAGATTACGACTCCGAGAGATGTCAACGAATCGGATGAGAAAATGCTTGAATGGAAATTGATATCCCCCAAATTCAGGCAATTCCAAAATTTTAATGGCGCAGAACAGGCCTATTATCACATTTGGGATGAAAAGCTGAAATTGACAACAAAAATCAAATTTTTAAGATCACACAAAATTCAAAGCTTTCTATGCAATGAGGAAATCAATTGAAATGCCCGTTCCTAAGTGGGTAATAAATTTTTAAATCAACACAAAATTCAAAGCTCTATGCAATGAGGAAATCATGATGCCGTTCCTAAGTGTATTCTTTCTCATTGAATATACAAACATTCATAAGCACACAAGAAATGGATCCGCCACCTTGGCATCTAAACTTTTAATGGCATTGCCTTCAAGAAACAAATATAAGCTGAAAATTACCCTCGACCAGAATTCTTTTGGGTGAAAATAATCTTTGAAGGGAACAATATAGCACACAAAGAAAACATTAACAACCTAAACGAGAGTATAACAATGTTTCTAACAACATGTCTATCTCCAAGGTACAAAACAAAATTTAAGTAAATCCAAGCCTAGGAAACAACTAGATTTATTTAAGCACTGTGGTGACTATGATACCAACTATTTGGAGAACCAATGCATGGATGGATGTTTATCAAAATCATGAAAATACATAACAAAATTTTTGAAATATGACAGCATGCAAAGTGATTTTTAGGCAGTAGTTGTCTAGGATATAGCATAACTAATTGAAATCACATTTACACATTAAATCCACGGAACCCTGCCAGCTGGCTGCATAGAAATTTGATATCCTCATGATAATTGAATACAAATACACAGAGAGATATATGGTGAACTTATCCAAATTATGTTGAGGCGCCTATAGATACATAATAAGAGTGTGTTGAGGCGCCTATAGATACATAATAAGAGTGTCACTGTTCTTCAAAGTGACAAAATTGTGGGTTGCAAATATTATCTAACAACATTCTTTCCACACACATATACACAAAGGGGAAGTGGGGGAAGATGAGACGACGGAGCTAAGTGAATAAGCCCAAGTGGAAACGACTAAACAATGTTCCTAAGAATGTGGATAATTAACCAGAAGCTACTTTTCACTACCTGAGATATTTTGAGCTTAAAGGATGCACGGCCATGCAACAATTTACTTGGCCTATCAGAAGAAGCAAATTCAATCCCGTCATAGCTTATCAAAAGTGGAGCTTCAGCATCAGATGTCTTCTCTAAAGGTAAGCCATTGTCCGCATATAAAAGCAGCTACCTAATAAAGCAAGCAATGTGTAGCATAACATGAGATAATCTGCCAAAACTAGTAAGGAAAACACAAAAAATTTCCTATGGAAAACTGAGGGAATCATACCTCCACTTCATTATTTATGGACTGGCTAATTGCATTTGATAAAACAACATCTATAGAAAAAATCCTACGACAAGATGCCTGAAAAACAGAAAATTTCCATGAGAAGAAAGCCTGTAATAACAGCATGGTTTGTACTTTAAAAATATAACCCATCAAATGAGAAACATGGAGATAAAATATGAAAATTTGGGGAGGGGCAGCAGGAAATCTAATGCTATGTTTACTTGCAGAAAGTAGTTTTCTGTTTCCTACTTCCACTTTTCATTTTCCATTCGAAAACTAAAAAAAAAAAAAAAAAAAAAAAAAAAGAAAAACATTTTTGTCCTCCATGTTCTAAAAAAAAAAAAAAAAAAAAAAAAAACATTTTTGTCTCCATGTTCTGCTACTTTTAAGTCAATAGGTTGTATTTGTACTTTGACTTAACAAAATGATAGTAGCTTGTAATAAAAATAACATTTACAGCCCATTTGGGACATAAATTAGAAATATAGAATTCATTGGTCAAAAAATAGAACTCATTTATAAATGAATTCTTATGTTTGGAATCGAACAACTTAAAATAGGGAATTCAATTAAATTCCATATATTTATGTTTAAAATAAATCTAGAATTAAATTATTTTTGTCTTTTTTTTCCCTAAAATATCCTTAATGTAACAACTTTTTGACATAAGAAACACAAACCAAAAAAAAAACCTTAATATTTATTATCAATATTCAGTTTTCAAATACAAAAAGAAATTTGGTTGAGAAAGGAGAGAGAAACAAGTAAAAAAGAGAAATCAGAGCAAGTGTGTGAGAGTGAGAGGAAAGAGAAGTGAGAGATAGAGTAGATGAAAGATAGAAAAAGATGAAAAATAAATATTGTGCATAAAATATTTTGTTAGATTTGTGGAATTCATTGGAAATTCCACCTATTTTTGATAAATTTTGTTTAAATTAATATTCAATTTCATAGCATTGAACAATAGAATTGAAATCAACATTTTCTAATGTTCCAAGCATAAAAATACAGTGAACTGTGTAGTTCATTTTTTAAACAGTGTTAGAACCGTAAATTTTTAAGGATTAGTAGTTACTTTAAATTTGGTAATGTGGTTATGCATTAACCAGCACAGCTACGAGCCTAAGCATATTTTGCAAACATACTGCATTTAATTGATTATTCAGATATAACCTCACAATTTTACTCACAAAAACAAGTAAAATAATGTGTTACAGATTAGGATAGCCTTTGCTTTATTGTGCGTATCTAAATCTAGCAAAATAAAGCTTGTTTCTTAGCAATGATATGATAATATTCAAAAGCAGCAAACAGTCCCCATAGAGGCTATTTAGTTAACCTTTATTTAGTGAAGCATAGATAAGAAAAGGAGAACAATAATAAATTGATTATCTTTAATTTTCAATTGGAATGAAACCGCTTAACATACGGGCAGTAGAAGAAAAGAATCTTAAGATCCATGACCAATATGAATTACCAACAATATGAATGACCAATGAAGTAGTTCATGCACCTAAGGGAGAGCCACATATCACCAGGTTTTGACAACTCTGGGAGAGCCACATATCACCAGGTTTTGACAACTCTTACTAGATGAAATTTTAGCTAGGTTTCACTAATTAGCAAGGTAAGAAAAAAACAAGCAAGGGAAGCATATCCAGGGGCTTTTTCACACTTTGTTTACAGATAGTTAATTCAGTTGATTTATAATAATGAATATAAATCATGGATTCAATGTCTTCATCAGAAGTGTTTGTGCTTGCTAGTTATTTGCATTTCTTAATTTGGTGGCTTCAACATTTATTAATTTAATTCTTCTTGCAATCTTGTGAGCAATGTTTTGCAATAGACATAATGATCCAATTTCGGTTACATGTGGCGAACCTCCACATCAAGTTTAATCCATGATAATACAGTTAGAACCTCCACATCAAGTTTAATCCATGATAATACAGTTACAAGTGCAGTAAGAAGATGAGCAAACTTAGATTCCCTTATGATTTATGTTTCCTCAAGAAAGAAACACGTCGAAACTTCTCCTAGGATATAATAAATCAATTCCTAAGAGACAAACAATCTAATATCAAATCATTAGCACATATTTTTCCAAAATATGATTACAAGATAAATTAAAACAGATGAATATAGAGACTTAATAATATGTAACAAAAATAAGTCTGATACCGATAATAAAGCAGCAATATCTAGGATTGTAGGATGTCACTTCTGATTGATGAGGAAGTTTATTCATTGATGAGCTTACAAATATGATTTGCTAATGTAAGAGAATATCCAAGTCAATAAAACATGCCAAACACCCAATCCAGAATGCATTTTAACTATTGCCCCCCCTTGCAGCTATTCTAAAAGATGTTCAGTTGCTATCTGCAACTCTCACTTAACATTAAGCAAAGACTGAAAACCAAATAACTTGGTTCTAGGATCATCTCTGTTAAATTATACAATCATCTACATAATCCAAATTATAAAACTCTACTTCAGAGTGTAACATTAATAGTTGTGACATGACCCTTATAAAATGCAACACTGTAAAATGGTTAATAACTTACCTTGCCACCAACGATACTCCAAATGCCATCAGTGTCTTCTTCAATCTCAGAGGTCGATGAGTCATCGATGGACAATTGTAAAGGTGGTTCCTGGCATTGAATTGCAAATAGGTAATTGTTGAAATCTTTGTGATTCAAATTAAATATTGTGCTTCCTAGTTTAGGTTTATTCCTAATTAGTGTAAAGATTGTGTTTCCTAGTTTAGGTTTATTCTTATTTAGATTACTTCCTATATTTAGATTACTTCCATATATTGGAAAAATTTTTTGTATAATATATAGTGGAGTAGAGATTGAAAAATATAACTATAATTGAAAGAAATAAAAAATATTCTTTCCTTTTAATTTTCTACACAGTATCAGAGCGCATTATTGCCGTGAATTTTTCGGCAACGGTTTCAGTTTGCAAAGTGGTCTGAGATACACACAGCACCGCCGGAAGTGGGAGTTGGTCGTCACCGCCCGTCTTAGAAGGAAGAACGACCGCCGATCGGCTCTCTGTCCAAACCGCATCGCCGTCCGACCATGCGCGTTTGCGCACGCCCCTCTAGAAGATTCTGACTGTCCTTCACGCGCCGGCGCATGTGGCTGTTTCCGGCGAGCTCCGTCGACAATTCTTGTTCCGGCGACCTCAACTCGGTGTGGCGACTCAGACCTACTAGTTCTTCAGCACCAGTTTTGCATTTTTTAGAATTTTTTTTCCTTTTCCACCACTGCTGCTGCCTTTTTTACCACTGCTGCCGTTTAAATTTCTTTTTAAGATATGGTTGACGGAAAGAAGGTTATGGTTGACGGAAAGAAGGTAGATAATGGTTTTTCACTCAGAGAGGCCCTCACTTCAGATTAGACCCGGTGAAGTTAGATGGAACAAACTATACCTGGCTTGGTCTCGGTCTTGTTTATTATTCATTGAAGCTAGAGGTTTGCAGGGATACCTTAATGGTGGAGCAACTAAACCAGTTTCAACAGATCCGGCCTTTAACAAGTGGATATCTAAGAAGTTTCAATAGATCCGGCCTTTAAAAAGTGGAAATCCGAGAATTCTCTTATTATGTTTTGGTTAATAAATTCCATGCAGCCAACTATTTCCCGAGAATATTTGCTTCTTGATACAGCTAAAAAGATATGGGATGTTGCTTCACAGGCGTATTCACAAACTGGAAACTATACTCAGAGGTATGAATTGCGATAGAAAGTTCATGAAACCAAGCAGGGAGATCTGACTATCGCTCAGTATTTTGCTAAACTTAGTGGGTTATGGCAGGAACTGGGTTAATGGCAGGAACTAGATTTACTATCAGACCTTTCAAGTGATGGTACTGATGATGCGGCTCAAGTTCAGAAGTTGATTGAAGTAGAACGTGTGTTATGATTTTCTGGCGCTGGCCTAAATAACGATGTAATGACCAGATTCGAGTCCAAGTTCTTTGGACGAGATCCTTTTCCCATCCTTACGACAAGCATACTCATTTGTACAGCAAGAGGAAGATACCTAGGAAGAAAGCTTATGGTTCACGCGATTACCCATTGACAAAAGCAACGTTGATTAATAATTTTGCAAGAGAAACATATCGCAGGCTGCAAAGAGCAGTTTCTTCAGATAGAGATCAATTTATTTTTGTGACTATTGCGCGGTAAGAACAGGCACACTAAGGAGTTCTGATGGAAATTACATGGATGCCCAACTAAAGGGCGTGGAGGAAAGCGGGTCAGTTCTTCTAGACAACAGGCAAACATATTTGATAGTGGAGCTTTATCTGAGAAACCATCTATTGCTGGAAGCTTTTCTAATAAGGAGATTCAGTCCCTGGAACGATTGTTGTCATAGCTTAATTCGTCCTCAACTCAGACTGTAGCCTCTAATTTTGTTAATTCAAGTAATGCTTTCCTTACCTTTCTTGCAAATATTGCAAAACCCTCTTGGGTTATAGATTCAAGAGCAAATAAAAACATAAAACAGGCGTTATAAACAGTTTCCTCAATATTCTAAGTATCAAGGCACAGACAACAATTCGGCATTGGCGGATTGGCTCCTTAGTACCATCAAGGCACAGACAAAATTCACATTGCGGCTGGCTCCTTAGTACCAATTGCTGTCACAGGTTCTATTGACTGTACTTCCAATATTAAACTCTACTCTGTTCTTCATGTTCCTAGATTTCCTATTAATCCATTATCTGTTAGCTTAATCACAAAAGCATTTAATTGCAAAGTAACTTGTTACCCTACTCATTGTATATTTCACGAACTGAATACGGGGAGAACGATTGGCAGTGGTAGCTTGCACGATGGACTGTATCTATTGGACGACATTTGTCGTTTTTCAAATTATGGTAACAGTCAAGCTTTGTTAGGAACTTCTAAAAATCCTTCCCATGAAGTTATTCAATTGCATAGGAGATTAAGACATCCCTCTTTTTCTGTTTTAGGACGTTTATTTCCCACTTTGTTGTCTTGAGCAGTCGATCTTGACTGGGAGTTACATCAATTTGATGTTAAAAATGCTTTTCTACATGGTGATTTGAAAGAAGAGGTGTATATGGAGATTCCTCCTGGATTTTGAATGAATGACAAAACCAGAGGAAAGTTTTGCAAGCTGAAGAAGTCATTA